TTTGGGGAATCCATTTTTTCCAACAATTTTGTCCGCCTATCCCTTTCAGGTAGTTGCTCTTTTCTTTTATTTTGACAAATAATTTCTGTAGGTGCACTACATCTTTCATCTTCAACGGCGACCAATTTACTATATAACGGTGATCGTGGCCCCGACATTCCTAATCTCAGCGTTGTCTCTGCTCGGGATCTTTTCGCCTGGCTCGAGTGATGGTCCACGAAACGAGAAGGTCCTGTCATCACTGCTTGTTTACCGTCTTTACCTAATGCGAAATTCTTTCAGAATTCGTCCAGCGAGAACGTGTGTAATGAATAGACCTCATCACGATCAATTCCTTTTGCATTTTGTAGTACCCCTAATAGCACATAGTAGAACTACCAGCATGTATTCCTCATAGAACTGCCTCACGCACATACACTTGCATAACTAACGCAGAAGAGGGTCCTTACAGGTTTCTCTCGGACTTGGCAGCCTTCTCGCTATGACCGTACTTCTTGGAATTGTTGCAGGAGCCATGCCAAAGAGTAATTCAATTCCTCTCCTTGGTGAGAATTTTCACGCGATTTTTATCAACTTCTGCCTAACACTGCTCTGGCTTATCTACTGCGCCGTATCCAGATGAAGTTTGGGGTTTCAAGAAAAAATGATTTTTTGTGCAATCCAACTGCTTTGGTGCCAATTGTTCCCGGAAAGAGAGAAGGGTTTAGCGTAAATGCGGTACTGCACGACATTGTAGTCGCTGTCTGCCTTGCGCTATCATTCATTATTCCATATCAACTGTGGATGGCCTTTAATTTGCACAGAGGCCAAGCATTCGAGAAGTTGATTTATGTCGAGCTCTTCAGGATACTACATTCTGATGGTCATTCTTCTATGTGCCATAGCAGTCAGTATTTCTATGGCATTCCTCGCCATCAGTAGGCAGTACATACAAAAAGGTAATGTAATTCCGCTGTTCCATTCGTTCACACGAAAGGTTCAACTCTGAGGCGACTCAGTTTCAACATTTTAATTCTCAGTCCCATCACCCTTCCCGTGACAGTTCTGAAGATGCCGACACTAGGTTACTTCCAGTGACAACAGAGATATGCAATAGTACTAATACCTTCATCCATCCATCTATTGCTGACTTAATGGTGGGGTGAAGTGGGCAACGTTATTCAACTTCTTCAGTATGAGTTACGCATGAGTCTTACATATGAAGGCGATTATTAGGCGATTAACCAGCTTATAGACGTTCAATTGCAATTGAATTCAAACTAAACTGATTTTTGAAGGGAGTCGGAAGTAAAACCGAATCTGAGAAATGGGTGCTCAGTAGCAGATTAGGGAACCTTTATGGGTTCTATACCTGAACGGCGTTGTCGCATCTCGGTAGATTATTACAATCGGAGGGAATCACTGCTTCCACATCATCTATTGTTCCACTTCCCTATATCAGACCCGAACTGAACCATAGTCTTCAAAGATAGTTAGTACAGGTACAAACTTATACTAGGAGGAAATGAATTAGTAATAATTTCTCATACAAGACAACAGAGAGGATGAGAGCAGTGAAATTTCAGACCAAATGCCTTCAAAGCGGATTCTGCGGTGGATGTTCATTTCCGAGTATCGCAAGCGTAAGTCCACTGCTACACTCAGGAACTCATCTTACGCGCTAATGGACAAAGAAAGGT